AGGGCACCTGAGCTGAGTCGCTCTGCCCTTTCACAGGTGCTGTGAACTCAGTCTTTCACACTTGGATTTTCAGCTTACAGGGGGTTTCTAGTGTGACTCCGTTGCATATCAAGAAGCACCTCAAATAGTTTCAGACTTGTGCCCCATCCTTCTGCCTGCGAGAACACCACATTTGCTAGATCTGCCACGTTAAAAGATCTCTGGCCGCTGCGCTGAGGACAGTGTGGAGCAGCCCTAAGCACAAGCTGGGCGCGCTCCAGGTGTTCGAGGTGCAGGTGGCAGCGGCCTGGACCGCGGCTGCGCGGCCGACTCCGGATGGGTCCGAGTTGACCCCACGGCGTTGAGCTGGATGGCGTGTGCGGCACGCAGGGCAGCAAGCATTTGGTAGGTGGGAAGTGCCCAGTGGGGACGCTGCTTGGGGCCACCCCGTCTCGGGTGTCGCCCACGCGCACATGGACGCCCAGTTGCCCACAGGGCAGAGTCGGGAGCTGGGGGAACGTGGGCTGGGGATGAGCGCTGGAGGCAGCAGCACTCAGGGGCCTCGCCCGGACCCCTAGGACCTGCCCTGCTGCTGCCGTCTGCACCTGTCCAGGGGCTGCTCTGGCTTGTTGCAAAACTACAGAAGGCAGCTCTGCTGGCACACTGCCAGCCGCCAACTAAACCGGGTTGGAATACCCTGCGTGCGTGGAGGTTGGGATATGCACAGCCCAGGCTCTCGGCCCACAGGCGAGAGAACGCTGAAGGACGCGCTTTATCCACTTCCCAGTCTCCGGGAGACTAGGCTGCAGCTGTCCACCAGGCGGGGGGCTTGCCAGTGGGCCGCCGCCTTCCCCTCACAGCACCCCATCTCCAGACTCTGCTGCTGGGAGAACCCACGCCAGAAGACGAACTGGAAAGCTCCAGCTGGATGGGGCACCAGATGAAAGGCACAGAGAAAAGGGCAGGTTTGGGGCCAGGGAGATGGCTCAGTAGAATAAGCGCTTCCCTGGCAAGCTCAAGGGCCTGAGTTCAATCCCCGGGCGGGGCGGGGCAGGCAGATTTAACCTGAGCACTGGCATGTAGTAACCCCAGGAGGTCAGGGAACCGAGGACACAATGGAGGAAGTGGACACAAAGAGGCTCAGCGGATTAAAGCCAGGGACCAAGCCATTGATCCCCAGGCCTGCCATGCTGGCCCTGCCCCCGGGGCACGCTGAGATGGCAATTGAGACTGGGCATGGTGGCGCGCCTGTAATCCCAGCTCTTGGGAGGCTATAAGCAGGCGGATCACTAGAGTCCGATCTAGTAGTAAGACCCTGAACACCCGGCGAGGTGGCCTCACCGTGGCTGCAGTGGCCAGTGCCGCAATTGGGGGATATAGTGATGCACTGACATTTAGGCTGGTTAGCAGAGGTAGAGGCAGGAGGGAGGGAAAGGCAGAATCAGCAGTCTGACACTTGGAGGGACCACGGGATTCCTGGGAGTGAAGTGTAAGGAGGCTAAGGGATTACTGGGACAGTGAGGCACTAGCATGGCTTATGGAGCACGGAGCTCATGCAGGGGCTATTACTAAAATGACAGGGTGAGCCAGCCTGATAGCTCAGGGGATTAAAGCACCTGCTTAGGCAGATGCAGGGGCCCAGGCTTGGATCCCCTTGTGCTGCATCGGCCCCGCCCCCAGGGCAAGCTGAGACAGTGATTGAGACTGGGTGTGGTGGTGCGGGCCTGTAATCCCAGCGTTTGGGAGGCTGAAAACAGAGGATCACTATGAGCCCATCTACACAGTGAGACCCTGCAGACCCTGTACTGAATACATAAAAAATAAAAGGACTGGGCTTTCTGTGGGACACGGCTGTGAGCACCACTGCCTGGGAGGAAAGAACATGGAGCAGAGGGCAGGCAGTTCTGTGAGATCATTGTGCGGACACTGAAATCACCAGTAGGACATTTGGAGTGGTGAAAGTTTGCGAATGGTGAAGTGCAACCTTCAAGGATGACAGTGGCCAGGACAGGGACTAGAGCACTGCAACAAGGAAGAGTATACTGAAGAAATGAGGCTCTTCACTAACAAACAGATGGTGTTCACCACTGCTGGGCAGCTCTGACCACTTGGGGCTGTTCAATCTTTGGAGCAATGTTGCAAGACCAGTTCAGAGCTAGAGACACAGAAGCGCTATACAGCAGCAGCTCAGCTCACAAACTGAACTTTGTTCCAAGACTTTGGTATGCGTGCTGCCGAAGTGAACTGTCCCAGGACTTCGGAAAACATGGCCACGCTTGTATTTGTGTGGAAAATGCAGCCATGGTGGTTTGTCACCTGAGGCGCTTTGCAGAAGAAAAAAAAATGTAGCCAACTGCTTGTTTGCAAACAGAAGCGACCCTGAAGCAAGGTCCCACTGTTGTTTATTTGCCCCAGGCCTCTCAGGTTTCTTAGCAGCCATGCTGATGTCGGGCATTCTGGTGTGTGAGACAGTACTTATTGGAGAATGGTCTAGAAGCAAGGGAACCGCCCCACTTCCAAATCCCAAAACATCCTGGAAGTGAAAGCCGCCTCTCCAAAGGGCTGTGAAGGAGCCCCGCGGTGCGGTGCGGGTGTGCGTGGTAGCAGTGGTGGGAGAAGTCTGCAACTTTCACTTACTTGATATTGCCTTGTCCCTCCTTATTGCGAGGAGTGCAGCTATCAGAAACTGTTAGAAGATACTGTTGTTTTTGTTTTTTTTTCCCCAGAACTGGGGATTGAACTCAGGCCCTTGTGCTTGCCAGGGAAGCGCTTATTCTACTGAGCCATCTCCCCAGACCTTCCTGGTTTTAATATTTAATGAAAACATCAGGGACACAGATTCGTAATTAAGGGTTGGGGGTGTCCAAGGTGTCCTTGTCCTGCCCTTGGGCCAGATGGGAGCCTGGAAACTCCCTTCTGATCACAGCCAAAGCCCTATGGCCAATGACACCACGATGCTTACGTCCAATGATGATGATGACATGTGCAGGCCTTTCATCGGAGGAAACCAGTGTCCTTACTGCCCCTCAGCTCATCCTCGTGGAATGCTTCGTCCTTCCTCGCCTGCAGTGACCTTTATTGTTCGCGGAAACATCACTCACGGTTTGATGCCACTGGCGGATCCGATGAGCACAATGCCTGACCAGCCTCACCCGATGCCCACTGGAGCCCGGAGGAAGAGCGAGCCCCAAGGTCCTCAGCTCTGCGTGCAGGGCTAGGTCGTGGCCCGTGCCTTCCCCCACTGTCCTCGGCTCAGACGTAATCACAAATCCTGAGGTCCCAGCCCCCTCGTGGCCTCCTGCTCCCTGTGAGCAACTGGTCACCCCAGTTCCCGTGTTGCTGCCATTTTGTCTCTCGCGCCTTTTCACCATGTCTTTGAGATTCGCTGCAGACATTGCTAATATTTGCTATTGACTGACTTGATGACAATTAAGGAAATATTCTTTAGTAGCAATGATTTATGAAGATTTGTCATTTTCTTAAATGTTCTTGGGTCAAACACACTTTTGCCATTTGTGTCTGCCTGCCCTTCCTCATGCTGTCTCTGTAGTCAGAGTTATACAGGTCTGGGGAAGCATTAATTTTAGGTTGTCAAAGCTAAGCAGGACTGCTGGGCCTTGTCACCAGGCGACTTTGGGACAGAGGGGCCAGGCAGCCTGAGCCGCAGTGCTGCCACTTGCACCCCCACCCCAGGGCTGGGCCTCCATGTGCAGTGTGCCCCGGAGGACGCAGCATGATCAGAGCAGGCAATTCCCTTAGGCTCTCATTTTATCATTTATTTATTGTATTTTAGGGAACTGTCTACAGGGTGTTCAGCGTCTCACTACTAGATGGGACTCAGTGATTCACCTGTTTACAGCCTCCCAAGAGCTGGGATTACAGGTACGCGCCACCACGCCCAGTCTCAATTGCCATCTCAGGGCTTCCCGGGGGGTGGAGTTGGCATGGCAGGCCCGGGAATCAAACTCCCGGCCCCTGCGCCTGCTTGCAGGTACTTTAATCTGCTGAGCTATTTGGCCAACCCCTAACTGGTACTATTTTAGATGCAGAGAAATCAATTATACACAAACTATAGTATGTCTCCTAGTGCTGCTGTAATAAATATCAAAGCAACACTAATTTATTTTCTTAATGTGCTGGAGACTAGAAGTCCAAAATCAGTATCAATGAGCTCAAATCCAGGCGTCCACAGAACTGGCCCCTCCTGCAGGCTCTGAGGGGAAAATGTTTTTTACCTTTTTCAGCACCGTCCCCCCCCCCCCCGGCTTGCAGACCCCTCCTCTGTTGTCAATCTACAGCATTCTGGGCTGCAGCCCCCACACCTGGCCTTCTCCTCATAGTCCAACATCTGCCCCCTTCTTCGGGGCTCTCAGGACTACCTCTAAGACCCGTTGGGGTTATCTGTGCACCTCAAGATCTGCAGCCTTAACCACTTCAGCCTCTCCTGGGATACATGAGGCAACATTCACAGGGAAGGAGGACTATGCATCCTCATGGGCCATGACCTAGCCCTGCACGCAGAGCTGAGGACCTTGGGGCTCGCTCTTCCTCCGGGCTCCAGTGGGCATCGGGTGAGGCTGGTTAGGCACTGTGCTCATCGGATCTGCCAATGGCATCAAACTGAGCCAGGGTGACCCAGTGAATGACAGAGCTCCACACAGTGGCACCCAAAGGTGTGTGACTTGGTTGCACCAGGTACGGGATGCTTACAGAGGGCTGGACAATTTCAGGAGAAAGCGTGACTGGGCGCCATGTGAAGGGGTGAGGGCGTGGGGCGCCAAGGGGACTGCAGCATGGGGACGAGGTCCCAGCTGTGGGTGAGCCTGGCATGCCTTGGCATGAGGTTGAGCTGCCCTGCAGGAGACCCAGAAGACTGATAGGGTGTTTCCTCTCTGGAGAACCCCGAGTCAGATGAGTGGTACGGATGTGTTAAAATTAGATCATTATTTAAGATTCCTATCAAACCTTGAGACCCCATTCAACTACTTCGAATTTTAGGTGATGACACCAAAGCCAAGACAGAGGTCACTTGCAGAGATTTATAAGGCAGGGCCAGACATTAAAATCTCCTTTCTAGCCACCTTCACACATTAATGCTGAGAACCCAGTTTTCCTTGAAACACACACAAGGAAATTCATTCAGATATGCTACTTAGCAGGGCGTTGTGAACATCAGAGGCATGCGCTGCTGCTCCGTGAGCTCGTGGGGGGCAGCCAGGCTGAGGCCTGCTGTGCCGCGGCCGACCTGCAGGCCTCCGAGGCTGCCTCTAGGGGAACAGCACGCAGGGATCAGTTCCAGTTTCAGGCGAAACCATTTTCATGATATTAGAGCCACCCAACATCTTGGGCTCGTTGGAGATGACGTGCCACCAGGAGGTCCAGCCGACCCGGCAGCAAGAAGCTAATGAAGGTACGATCCCAGGGAAGCAACACTGCATCGCACGATCTCTGAGCACTGGTCGACATTCTTCTTAATCCTGTAGAATTTGTCCACATACTCAGAGCGTCCCAGGAGCTCCACAAAATCTTCATCATGGGTGATTATCAGAAGCTGAAAGTTGCGCTGCTGTGAGCGACTTTTTATTATCCTGAAACAACATATTTGGGACACTTTATTACTAAAGAGAGTAAGTTTTAGAAGATACCACGAACCTCGTCAGACAGACTGTAGGGCAACCAAGCCTTTCCTGTGCTGTGCATGTTAGGCCCCCGGCTGCCTTGCGGGAAGTGGCGAGGGCTGCGGTGGCCGGGCCTCCAGTCCCACAAGCACCTCGCCCCGCCTGGGCAGTGGGACGCACTGTCTACTTCCTCTGGCCCAGGGACTGTAAGAACCACATCTCAATAATTTGGACTGCCTTCCCCAGATCAGGGTATTCCAACTAAAGAAGCTTCAAGTGTTTTAGGGACACCCTGAATGCTTGAATTTTGGAGCCTGACTTCTTTGCCTAGATTTTCTTCACATATTGCTTGCTTTCTCTGGAAGAAAATTTTAAAAATGATGAAGACAGGCAATAGGTGGGGGAATAACACTGCCTTCCTAAGAGCTGAGTCTACTTAGAATTCTGCCACCGCTAGTCACTAGATGTATCATTGCTGTGACACACAGGGGACCTGAGTGGGTGTACTGGGAACATTTTTGCTCATTATTTATATGCTAAGGCAACCAGCTGTAAGAGTGAGACTCGAAACCCTTGCAGTAGCCACTTTTATTCCTTGCCTAGAGCTGGATGCACCTGAGGCTGCAGAGCAGCAGTGGCCCTGCCTGCGGGTCCCCGCGCCCCTGAGAGGTGACTGGGGAAAGGAAGCTGGCTGTGCTGCTGTGGCCCAGGCTGGCAGGTGGGAAATCCCAGCTCTGCTCACAGGAGCCTGCCCGCCAGCCACACCTCCTCCTACCTCACAGTGCATAAGCCAGAGCCACCCAGCCACAGAGCCGACCCCACACAGACAAGTGTGGTGACAAGTGTGTGCAATTTGTCCTCCCTGCACTCTACTTAATCACTAACATGCTTTCTGAGTAAGAGCCTGGTGTTCCTCCTAACTGTGTGGTACCTGAAAACCTGGGCAGACAGTCCTAAGCCCACGACTACCACCCACAGATGTCTGGGTAGGGCAGGCCGACTCCTCTGCATGACATGGGGGTCCACAGGAAAACCCAAGTCCAGAGTCCTCACTGCAACTTCTCTTATGAGCACACTGGGGAGAGACAGGATGTGTCTGGGGCAATCCAAGTCCTTTTTAAGAAAACCTAAAGAATTACTACCAAACGATGAAATGTAGAACGTGGTTTCCCCAACAAGGAACATCTTGGAGGTTTGACTCCAGGAAGCTCTTTTTATCTTTCTTAAATGAAGATCACAAATGCTCCAAGTATGAGATACTTACTCAACCAGGGCATGTGCGAGAGATTCAATGTTTTCTCGGTCGAGGTTGGTCGTGGGCTCATCCAAGGCAAGGATGCCGCAGTTCAGACAGAACGTTTCGGCCAGTGCCAGGCGGATGATGAGGGAGGCCAGCACCTGGAGGAAGCCAGAAGTCAGTCACACAGCACCGAGTGGCCGCGGTATCACTGGGAGAGAAGGGGCAGGCGTCACAGGGTCACCGACAGCAGGGAATCTGCCACTGTGCGGGAGAGCCAGGCACCATGGCCAGGCCTTCATCCTGCCTGCGTGGAGGCGAACCAGCTGCATTCTCCCTGCTCTTCATCTGTTAGGGGAGGGAATGCTAAATGCGTGCACATACAAACACCCCAACTGCATCAAAACATGAGGTCCCAGGCTGGGATCCGAGAGGCATCACCATGTAGCTCTAAGTAATAAATGTATTGAAGGTGTAACATTAACCACCTTAACTCGACCTAGCCCTTACAGTTCTCTATAACATGTTAGAAAATGTGGACACATTGCATTTTTCCAAGCTTCTGAGAGAGCTGCCTTTAAATCTCCATATTCTACAGTCCAGAAAATGCACCAGCTGTAGTATGCTAGTCCACCCTGAAATGTGTGTAATTCTGACAAGAGGGAAAAAATTATGGGTCACAATATCAGGATGGATATAGAAGTAGTTTTGTTTATTGTTACATGCAGGAAATCTGAGCCACCACAACTACCAGGCATGGTCACGGTTAACAGAAACCTAATACCAGAACCCTCATGACTAACTGCAGCCGTCTCAGTACCAGGGACATAGGACTCAAGTGTGAAACTCTGCTGGGAACCCTAAACTACTCTGTGAACTATAAGTTCCTTTTCCCACTGACTCTGAGTTGGGGATTTTAAGAAGAGTACCGGACATGCCTTCTCTCTGAGGCCCGGGGCAGGCCGTCAGATTGCAGCAGCTGGGGCCACACTGCCCTTTTGTGGGAAAGGCACTTCCTTCCTGCCTTCGAGCCCCACCACTGCCAACCCTACCACTCCCCACACGCGGAGCCGTAGGCTGTCTCAGGCCTCAGCAACAGCAGGGCGAGGCGAGAGGGGGCCACCTCCACCAAGCACATCTATCCCCTCTCCTCGTGCCAACGCAGCTTCAACTGCTAATTAACTCTAGTCACGTAGAGTAGCTATAGGAAATCTACTTTTTTATTTTAAATCCAGAGTCCGTATTTCAAACTTCTATAAAAAGTCACCAAAGTATGTGGAGATCATGATTGTAGATCACAAATTCGTCATTTTTGCATTCTATGACTTAGATAGTAATCTGCAGATGCTTTTAAATCGGTTCCGTTGTCTGGGCTGACAATACATAATTATGTGTGGCATGTTCTTTTAAGCAAAAGCTGAAAACTACAGAAATGACTCAGATAATGTGGACCTCCTTTTCTAGGGTTTTGAAATTTTAGGAAAATCAGGGTCTATAGCTAGTATAACCTTCTACCTTTAATCTGAAAGCAGAGGGCTCACATGCCTGGGACATCCTTGCTCAGGCTTGGCTTGGTGCCCACCTGTACGCAGTGAAGGACTCGGCCTTGTTCTCGGGTGCAGGTCCTATGTTCCAAACTGCATCTCTCCAGGCTGTGCTCCTGGAGCCCCACATGGAGTCAGCTGGACTGACCTAGCACCTGTGCGCTGGGTCCGGAGCGGGGCTGGAGGCCCCATGAGGCCAGGGATGGCAGAGCCCACCTCAGATGTCTGCAGGCCTGAGCTAGGGTGGTGGAGTACACTCAGTTCTAGGTGGGTCTACTTTCTCAATGGAACTCACATATTCTAGAATGCCTCAACTGGCTTAGTCTAGGCTTAGTTCGCTACTAATATTATGAGTAATAGAATACTTACTATTAATTCTGAAACATACTTTCTCATTTTGATTTCTCTGAAAACAACACATCTGAAGGTTGTAACTACGTTTCTTCTGGTTTATTGCTATTGGTTTTGAGGCAGGATCTCACTATGTAGCCCAGGCTAGTCTTGAACTCATGGCAATCCTACTGCCTCAGCCTCCCACACGCTGGGATTATAGGCTTGTGCCACCATGCTTGGCTGTAAGTATGTTTTTCTGTGGTGGCACGTGAAATAGTGGTACTCTTTTAACTGATGCAGCAGTGGCCTCTCTGAGAAGGGTGTCTGCGACACAATAAGGGATCTTGGGCCTGTTCCACACTAGCTATCCTATGAAAAGCTTCAGGCCATCTGCGCAAAGCGTCAGCAACGCTGGCACCTGGCGGGTGGGGCATACCAGCGACAGCTGCGCCCGACTCGCCTGGCATGCTGTGAGCAGCGCTGAGGACAGCGCCGCGCCAAGGGCAGCCAGGTGCTTCCGGGGTGCTGGCCGTCCTTCTGTTCTCTCTCTGGGTTGGGTGGCTCCCGAGACTCGTAGATACCTGCCTTCTGCCCAGCACTGCAGCGTCCTCGCATGTCCAAGGCCGCATCTCCTTTCAGCATCACGACTCGGTAGTTGTAATTCCGTCTTTTATCAGAAGCTGATACGTTCTCATCGGCATCAGAGCGAATTTCTATGTATTCGATATCTACCATAGAAAGAAGACTGTCTTAGAGAAACCTCCTCTCTGTAGCGTTCTGTCACAGATGGACATCACCCAGAAAGCCCAGGAGCAGCATGTGAAGCTCATGTCACCTGGGAAAGCTCTGGCTGGGAATTCAGGACACTGCAGTCTGGGCAGAAGGACCCTGGATGTCCCCGCTCAGCCTCAGCTCTCTAAGTTTTCTCTGTGCATAGATGTCTACAGAGCAAGGTACATACTGTCAGGCCTACGAATAGAAAGTTTTATGTTTTCTTTCTCTACAAGACATTACGATAAAGATTCTTAGAGCCTCTCAGAGATGCTCAGAAGGAGGTCCATGTAATATTTTCATGAAGAGATAGTATGTGGAAGAGCTGTGGGCAGGGCTTTAGGAAGAGCTTTTATAACATACAATATTAATTACCTTGTCCACGATAGGTACTTCGCCAAAGATCACGAATAATTTTATTGATTTCTTCCATTTTCATACTGTGAAATTTCATTATTGCTCTGGAAAAAGAAGCCATTAGTACTTTAACAGAAAAATAATATGTCTTATTACATATATAATGTCTAATAATATGTAAATCATAAGTTCACTTCTTTTAGTTCAGTCCTGATTCTTTTCTACTTTCACTCCATAAAAAATATTGTACCTGTTTAAGACCTAAAAGCTGCACAACCTACCCAAAGTCTACCTGTGTAACAGCTTCTTTCTCAGGCCGTGATGGCTGATGGGAGGCCCACCGGCTACAAAGCCCCACCGAGCACAGACTGGCGCCTTCCGGAGTAGCAGTTAGCCAGGGCTTCCCAGTCCTTGGGCAAACCGGCACCTCTGACTGGCTGCCTGACCCTTCCACTACTATTACAATTGCCAAGAGCTGGCCCCTTAGGCTACTTTTACTTCTCTAATCTGTGAAGTTTCTACCAACCAGAAAGTAGCTTTGGTTCAGAAAGAATGATTTAGAAGCTTACACTGAGCTAACCTTCAGAATTTTACTTTGCCCTCTTTTCACTGAAGATACTAACTACATGCACTGGGCTGGGCATGCAGCTCAGTGGTGCAGCACCTGTCTGCTAAGGAAGTGGCCCTGGATTTCATTCCCAGAGCTACCACCAATAAGACCCACACCCACGTGCTCTTCCACTTGGTTCTTATTGGCTATCCCCCCAAAGCTCACTGCAGGTAGTAGATGTTCATAAAAATAAAAGCAGCCTGTCAAAATCTAACATTGTTCCTGCTGGAGTCACCTTTCACTAAGGAGACCTCTGGCTCTTTGGAAACAGGCTTATGAACCAATAAACGTCAACCGTGTGATAAAAGGCACCACCACCCACCCGCACAGAGGGTGTGAGGACTACTTCCACTTACAGACCTCTCATCTGATACATACAAAAAAAGAAACTGAACGTAATGCTACAGCCTCTGCAGACTCATTTCATGATCTTCTGGCTCACCAGCAAGAGAGAAAGAAATGACTCAACATAAATACATTTTAAATATCAAATGAAGGGTCACTGAGGTAGTAAAGCCTGTAAAAAAACACATTCTGCCTCTTGATGAGAGCGCCAGCCTCCATTTTCTACTTCACACATCTATCTCAGCCCAACATTTCATGCTCCTTTCAAACAGATACTAAACATCTAAGCAGTTCCTTAACACTCATAAATGTTCTCAGAACCAAATATGTACAGGCTTCTTTTTCAGAACTTTCTAAATTATGACCCTAATTTTATTGTTCTAATTTATTTATTTTTTTTTTTTGCAGTGTCAGAGACTGAAGTCAGGACCTTGCACTTGCCAGGCAAGCACTTATATTGTTCTAATTTAATGTACATTATATACATGTACTGAACCACTGCAATGCAACCCAAAAGATGTACACATTAAATGAAGCCCACATTTTGCAGCTCTTGACTGCCCACCTTTCTTTCATATAGCAGAATAACTACAATAGGGACCAGTTAGACTGTATCAGTTAGTATGGGTCAAGTTTTGCTGTAGTAACAAGAGCCCCAAAATCTCAATGACAAATCTTAAAAGAAAAAAAATTTAAATTTTCAAAAAGTTACTTCCTATTCAGGTTAAAAATCTGCAATAGCTATGATAAAGAAGCATTCTTAAAATAAGAGAACAAACCTCAGCCAGACAAATGCGTTACGGTGTGCCAGCCTGCCCTGGCTCCCTGCACACACACACTGGGCAGCAGCTGGGCTGACCGAGGTGACTACAGTCAGCTACTTACAAGAACAATGATAAGAGTGGATAATACTGATGGGCACTTACATAAGAGAGCAACGCTAAACAGTCAGATATTATCTTATTTAATCCTTACAACAATACTGCAAGTTAGATTTTATCTCCATCTCCATTTACCATTTAAAAAAGCTGACATTTGATGAAATTGGTAATTTGTTCATGACCAGAGAAAAGCGACTAGGATTTTTTTTTTTTTTTTTTTTTTTTTTGCGACTAGGATATTAACAGTCCTTAATTATGACGGTTAAAATTACAAATGATGAAAATTTCACCTCTCAAAGCTACTAGACTCATATAATTTAATGAATGTTATCAAATCTTTGACTTAAACCTAGTCCTCAAATACATAAAACTATTATGTAGCAAGGAGAAATGCAAGTAAAAAAAGTTTAGGCCTGTTTGCTCATGTAAACGGAAACAAACATTCTAAACAAAACCAAATTTAGCAGTAAATGTGCTGAAAAGAGCACATGACTGAGTGGCTTTTATCCCAACAAAGCAAAGATAGTACAACAGAAAAATAAATTTCAAGATAATTTACTGCATTAGCAGATTAAAAAAGATTTCAATAGATAAAAGAACGTTTTAAGACACTGTAGCACTGAGTTTTAATAAAAACCCCAATAAATGAAAAAGGAGGGGGCCTGCCCATTAGCTCAGTTGTTGAAGTGACTGTTTTAAACAAAGCAGTCAAGCTAAGCATGCTGTGGTTCAATCGCCAGGATCCTCAAGCTTGCCAGACCTGCCCTGACAGCATCCTGAGCCATCAAAAAAAAAGAAGAAGTAGAAAAAAAGTATCTGACAAAATTCTCCCCTCAGGTATCTATAGCAAGCAACACACTTAATATATAGGACCAGGCATTATGGTACATGCCTGGGAAGTGAGGCAGGAGGATAATACCTTTGAGCCCAGCCTAGGAAACTTTCACAGACCTCATCTCAACGTTAAAAAAAATAAAGTTCTCGTTCGCTCTCTCTCTGTCTCTGTCTCTGTCTCTGCCTGTCTGTCTCTGTCTCTCTCTAAGAACCAGAGAGAAATGCTTCCAAGTATGGCTACACTGAAGTGATGCCCTAGAGATTCTAAACCCGCTGAGTAAGAAAAAAATAAATGAAGGCTAAATGACAGGGAAAAAAAAGAAAACCATCACTGTTTTTGCAGGTGGTATAACTGCCAAGAAAATCAAGTGAAAACTAAGATTAGTAAGATGGTCAGAAATAATAGTTCTATTATCTACTTGCTAATATCATTAGGAAAGATAATAGAAAAGTGGATGCTATTTACAATGGTGATTAAAAAAAATGTATGTAGGAAGAAATTGAACAAAAAAGTACAGGATACTGAGTTAAAAGATATAAAACTTTACAACAGGACAAAAAGAACTAAACTGGAGTCAGGGAGATAGCTCAGTAAAATAAATGCTTGCCTGGCAAGCGCAAGGGCCCGAGCTCAATCACCAGTTCCACCAAAAAAAAAAAAAAGAAAAAAAACTAAACTGATTAAATAAGAGACACAGTAAGGGGTTAATAAATGAAATACTCAGTATTTCAAAGATACTCTCTTAAATAATCTATAAATATAATGTAATCCAAAGAAAAATCTCAACATTTTTAAAGCTAGTAATAAAATCTACAAGCTGAGGATAAATTTCTAAAGGGAATACAAAAGTAATGGAGCAAGCCCCTCAAAAGAGTAAAACTATCAGAAAAAAAACATTTTCATAATTATAGGATTAAGAAAACCTATATATATTTATTTATGGGCTCAGTAGAATAAGCGCCTGCCTGGCAAGCACTGGGTCCTGAGTTCAATCCCCAGCATCACCAAAAAAAGGAAACAAAACAAACAAAACCCCAAATTGTGTGTGTGTGTGTGTATAATATAAAAATGACCACAATTATATACTGTTGCTGGCAATATAAATTTCACTGGCATTAACGAAGTAAAAATGTGCACATCCTGACCCAGTAACTTCATTTCTTTTCTATGTTTGGTACAGGGTCTCACTACACAGCTTAGACTCATAGTGGTCCTCCTGTTTTCAGCCTCCCCAGTGCTGGGATTACAGGTGAGTGCCGCACACCCCATCTCGGTGGCCAGCGCAGTGTGCCCGGGGGTGGGGCTGGCCTGGCTTGTGGTGCTGGGGATGAACCCAGTCCCTGTGCTTGCCCAAGCAGGCGCTCAGTCCGCTGAGCTATCTCACCGGCCCTAGTAATTTCATTTCTATGAAGATACCTTTCTGGTATATCTGCACAAGTGTGCAAAGATATACTCTGCAGTGTAATTGGTACCAAACTTTTAAAAGCTTTCTATTAGTTCTTCATAAAATAAAGTAATACCCATCTTATAGATTAGGAAGCCATTAAAAACAATGAGGTACAGAGGGCCAGGGAGATGGCTCAGTAGAATAAGTGCTTGCCTGGCAAGTGCAAGGGCCTGAGTTCAATCTGCGGTTCCACAAAAAAAAAAAAAAAAAGAGATACATATATGAACATAAAAGAATTTCACTGTTAAGTGAGAAAAAAAAACTATTCAGAAAAAAATGAAAATATGTCACCAATGTAATAAATACTTAAGTCTCTAAATAAATGTTAGATATTATCATGGAAATGAACAAAAATCTACCCTGAAGTATGTTTTTTGATTTGCATATTCACGAAGTATGGGAAAACACAGCTTATCAGTAATAGAAGGCTGAATGAGTTAAATGGTATAAAGGATACAAAAAGGGTACAGGGCCAGAGAGATAGCTCAGTGACATAAGCACCTGCCTGGCAAGCACAAGGTGCAAGTTCTAGTCCTGGTACCACCGGGGGAGGTGGAGAAGTACAAAGCAAGAGAGTACAATGAAAGGACAAATCATTGGTGTGCAAGGGCTTAAGGGAGAAACAGACAAGAAAATGTGGGTATCTCAAGGGATCAAAATTGTTCAGTTTTATCAGCCTAGCAAGCAGTGAGTCTTTCTAAAGTGGAAGTCTTTCTGAAGCGATGAGATTGAGTCATCACCTTTAGAAAGGCTAACCTGGCAGAAATATAAAGGGTGTGTGTGGAGAGAAACGCTGGTGAATTTGATACAGTTCTCATTTTTATATTTCCTGCTTTAATATTTTTATATTTTCATCATCTTAAAATTAATGAAAATTATGGAATTTTCAGTTATCCTATACTAACTACATATTTGGACTGTCAGTGGTGACCGAACTCACCAATTATGGAGCTTCCCTCCTCCTTCCCTCCCTCACACACAACGCA